TCTTTCTCCCTCTCTTCTCCTCTTCCTTCCTTCCTCTCTCCCTCTCCCCTTCCTTCTCTCCCTCTCCCTCTCCTCTCCCCTCCCTCCCTTCCTCTTCTTTGGTATGAGTATGTATCACTTCCTAGTTCCTAAAGTTGAGATAGCATGTTTTTCTACCTAGCTAAGTTTGAAGATACATTCAGTGCGTGCCCTATTGAAGGAATATTAGAAAAATGGATTGTAGCATAACGGGTTTGTTTTCACTATCAATCGGTTTGATTCTTTTAGATGTTTAAAGCCAGGATATGAATTTATTTTTGGAAAGATAATTGATCTAATTGATATTTTGGAAGAAGAGAAGGACATTCTAAGAAATATTCATCATGAATCCAAAGGACATTACCAAAATTTTGAGGGTAGGTGTGAATAATTCTTATGAAAACATTGTCTGGATTTGCTTATTGTGCCCAGAAAACACAGCCCTGTTTCTGTGATTTAGGCTTCCTGTGACTGTCTTGTATGATGACAGCAATTGTGGTTTTTAACCTTTAATATGTAATACAGACTTAGGTAAAGCTAGTGAGTTTTAGCTTCTTTATCAATCCATGGTCAACATTGTTTGTTTGTTTTTATTCAGACCAATTTAAATGCAGGATGGCAGAGTGGTAGAACTGCAGTGTCATTATCTAGATACATTTTGCATTTTCTTGAAGCTTTTTCCCTATATTTTTTTAGTCACAGACTGATTCAATCTATAATATGAGTCATGCAAAGCAGATACCTGAGCTGCCGCCATTGCCTTCAGTAGCGGTCTCTGATCCCTCCCAACTGTATCAGGTGAGTCCTTGCACTCTTATTAGAAAACAGTTATTATAGGAAGCCAGTTCGAGGTAGTCCTTGTTTAGCAACCACAACTGGGAACCGGCAACTGTTGTTAACTGAAACGGTTGCTAAGTGGGAAATCAGCAATTTAGCAACTGTAATTTTCCCTTTTCCCCGTTCAGTCTAGCAGCACTGGGTTTAGCTGGGTGACAATTGACAAGATTAACCAGTTTCAAATCTTTCCCTTCTGTTTATATCCCTTCGGCCTTGCTCACCTGGGAACTGGGATAGTTATCCAGAAGGGAATTAATGTGTATATTTACATTCATTGAAGAGGAAGGAATTGCAAGAGAATAAGCAGGCTTACAATGAGGAATACACATTGAAAGGAAGCTGTGAGCGAGCTGCACAAAAAGCCTGATGTATTCCCGGTGTGTGCCTGCTTACTCTCTTGTAATCCTTTCCTCTCCACACTCTCTGCTGGCAGGGAAGGAGAAAAAGTATGTCAGGCACTAGAGAGATTGCCTACAGAGTGGCCTTTTCTTTTTTCCTCAATCTCACCTCTGCCTGACCTTTCTTTTTCCTTCCCCACCCTTGCAGAGTAGAAAGATTGGAGAAGAAAGGATTACAAGAGAGTAGCAAGCACACAAGAGAGAATTACCCATCATGCGGTGGCACTGGCAGCTCTTGAGGCAAACAGCCCAGTGCATTCATTCTCCATTGTGTGCCTCCTTAGTCTCTTGTAAGCCGCCTTCTCCAATCTCTCCATTCGGCAAGAGGGGGAAAAAAGGAACAGGTGTGACACAGGACAACAGTCTCTGACTGTACTGGCCATCACATGACCGATGGTCACTGCTAAGTTGGTTATAAAGTTACTTTTTCAGCACCGTTGTAACTTTGAACGGTTGCTGAACGAGGCAGGGTAAGCGAGGTCTATCTGTATTTCAGCTTTCCTCGGCTTTCAAGACCTGCGGAAGTTATAAATGGGAGGATTGGTTTTAAAATTATTATTTTTTTCATTACTGGTGTCGACTGCAAATGATTGGTAAGCCAAGCAGTCGCTAAAAGAGCATTACAAAGAGTACTCTTTGGGAGCAAGCAGTAATCTGGGGAAAAAAGATTCCAGGAAATTAATTAGTTTAGTTTAGGGCTTCCTCCATTCTGGGCAAATGGCTGATGCTAGAAATATGGATTGATGTTTTTGGTCAGGGAACAAGAGCAAAACTGGCTAGCATCCTGAACCATCCATTATGCCACCCACCCTATAACATTGGAATTAATTGCATTTCTCACTTTCGATCTTTTCTCCCGTCGTAAGCTGAGGACAGCCTGTCCAATTTCACAATGTGTTTGGAGGGGCTTAGCAAGAGATCAGACACC